TCACACTTAAGACGGGGGGTAGGGGAGAGTACTCTGAGGGTGCAGCCAGAATAACAGATCTACCGCATTTTTTATCTTTCTTTTTTTTTTTTACATTAAACCACATTTGTTTACGTAAAAGAAAGCTATCCAATGATAACTATTGTTTATTTCTTTCCTTTTGGTAAAAAACATAGTATAATGTTTGTTGTATAAATGGTTTTATCGCTGGCATAACCAAATACTTGTCCTAAATATCTGTGATACAAAAATGACTGTCTAGGATTTAACGTGATTATTACCACTTATTGGGTGTGGAGAAAAAATCTTAACCAACAGTGCATAGATGAACTTATTGACATTTTCACAACATTACTTCTTTGATTGGTTTCAACAATTATTATTCAAACATTTTATTTCATTAAAAGTCCAAAGAATTGTATTGTATATAATATGTATAACTCTTCAAAACTGGAGGAAATAAAGAAATATATACTATATAATTATACAAAACTGACTGGTCAACAAGAAATGTGGAAAATGGTGTGAAGAAAAATTGGTAATTTTTCTGTGCAGGTCTTTAAAACGATGATGTGAAATAAATATATGTCCCTGTCATACAATAGGCATGATAAAAAAATCACTGAGTAATATTACAAACAAGCTACCTCTGTTTGCTTAACATATTTTTGTAAAACATACCTTTCATATAATTCCAAGTATATTTCTGTCTGAGTTAAAACTTAAAAATTCTTTATAACAGAAAAGATCACACTTAAGATGGGGGCAGGGGAGAGTACTCTGAGGATGCAGCCAGAATAACAGATCTACCGCATTTTTTATCTTTCTTTTTTATACGTTAAACCACATTTGTTTAAGTAAAAGAAACAAACCCTAAAACCATAGGCTAAAGAGAAATAAACAACAACACTTTTTTTTCTTTTAAAAAAGAAAACAAGAGGGCCATAATGGCCCTGAGGTCGCTCACCTGTATATAGGCCCCACCAACCCCAACCCCCCAAACGTTGCAGGGCCAATTTAACCCAAGGGCTTTTATTTGCACAAACTTGGTAGACACCCATAAGAAGATGTTTCATGCTAAACATCTAAGCTCTAGCTCATTGGGCTTTTTAAAAGAAGATTTTTTTAAAGTTTTTACTATACACATATAGTTAAAAAAAAATTACACCCCTGGGGCCGGGCCAGTTTTGACCCCAGGGCTTTTATTTAAACAAACTTTGTAGACACTTACTAGAAGATGTTTCATGCTTAATATCTAAACTCTAGCTATTTGGGTTTTTCCAAAGATTTTAAGTTTTTGCTATACACATATAAAGAAAATCAATGACCCCCGGGGCGGGGCCAATTTTGATCCCTGGTCTTTTACTTGAACAAACTTGGTAGACACCTTTTAGAACATGTTTCATGCTAAATATCTTAGCCATAGCTCTTTGAGTTCTTTAAAAGAAGATTTTTTAAGTTTTTACTATATGCATATAGGGAAAATCAATGACCCCCCAGGGCGGGGCCAATTTTGACCCCAGGGCTTTCATTTGGACAAACTTGGTAGACACTTATTAGAACATGTTTCATGCTAAATATCTTAGCTCTAACTCTTTTGGTTCTTTAAAAGAAGGTTTTTTAAGTTTTTACTATATGCACATAGGGAAAATCAATGACCCCTGGGGCTGGGCCAATTTTGACCCCAGGGCTTTTATTTGAACAAACTTGGTAGACACCTATTAGAACATGTTTGATGCTCAATATCTTAGCCATAGCTTTTTGAGTTCTTTAAAAGAAGATTTTTTTAAGTTTTTACTATATGCATATAGGAAAATCAATGACCCCCCCGGGGCGGGGCCAATTTTGACCCCAGGGCTTTTATTTGAACAAACTTGGTAGACACCCATTAGAACATGTTTCATGCTAAATATCTTAGCTCTAGCTCTTTGGGTTCTTTAAAAGAAGATTTTTTTTGTTTTTACTATATGCATATAGGGAAAAACAATGACCCTCTGGGGCGGGGCCAATTTTGACCCCAGGGCTTTTATTTGAACAAACTTTATTAAAAGAAGATATTAAAGTTTTTTCTTTCGGATGCCATGGCAACCAGAGTTCTGCATGGAATTAAATTCTTTGAACAACTTTTAAAGTTGACCACCAAAGGAACATTCCTGTGAAGTTTGGATGAAATTGGCTTAATGGTTTATGAGGAGATGTCATTTAAAGTAAAAGTTTACGGACGGACGGACGACGGACGGACGGACGCTGGACGAAAAGCGATCACCAAAAGCTCACTCCTGTCACTTTGTGACCTTTAAAGGTGGAGCTAAAAAAGAGAGAGAGAAAAATCAGAAAGAAACCCTAAAAGAATGAAACATACACCAAAAATGCAACAATTGAACCTGTTGAGCAGAAATTACTGATCTATAAATATACCTGACATGTGTAGGTTTCAACAAGCAAGATTATATATCAAAATATTTTGTTTGTCCACGCCTTGCTGGGTGTATAAATGATAATAATGTCTGTAATGTATGCATTGCACAAGAGATGTGTGAGGAACAGGTTTATCAACCAAACATATTAACTATATAATCATATAAAACAACCTAATTCAAAATCTAGACAATCTATGCATTTTACAAAATGTCAATAATTCCTAAAAATCAAAATGTCAAAAATCTTTAAAAATCTAATTTTACAGAGGGGTTTTGAGGAGTGGTCTGGGCAGAGTAAATATTTTGATTTCTTTTCCATAAAATGGATGTTTTTGTCCAGATTCACAGATGGACAATTTCAGATAAGATATTTAGCCTGGTATGGGTTAAGAAAGCGATCTTACTGTTTTAAAGAGGGAGTACGGAGAGATAATTATTTAATAATTTTTTTTTTTTCTGGGTCTGCGTTTTGTTTTTTTTAAGATGAAAAGTCAAAGCTATCTGAATACAACTACATGGTAAATACTTCTATAGAAATTCTAAATATATTCTAAGTAAACATGTGTTTATTTGAGACTTTTTTTAACTCATAATTTTCTTCAATAAGAGGAAAGAATATACATGTATAAAAGTTTGCCATTTACTAAAGTCCTCATATTAATTTAATATTGCTATAACAAAATAGTCTGACACACCTATACTTGCAGTTTTCATATCTACATTTTCTAACATTAAATTATCTCCATATTTTATAGGTAATATTTACTTGTATATTGCCTTAGTAAACATAATTTTACGCTATTTAATCATTATTATTGTTATTCCACAAGCTTTTATCATCAGAATATTTGTCAGAAAGAACAAAAATAAAGTAAAGTAAACATTTACCAACATGTCTTAACGATATACAGTAAACTCCACTTATAACGATATGGCATATAGCAATGCTGTAACCACTTATTTTCAAATTGATTGCCTATCGGGTATAACCATATCCGGATATAACAATATAAATTTGGCTGTCCCATGAATAGCGTTATTAGCAGAGTTTACTGTATAGCATTCTAATATTATAATATTTCACTTCTTTATCAAATTTTTACACTAAACTACTGTTTTGCTATTCTGAAGTAATTTTTTTCATGTCATTAGATTGATTTCTGTTTCATAAAGTGTGTACCTGAAAAAAATCAATTTCAATTCTGAAATGTATGTGAAATAGGTTTTAAGGTGGTGAAATTCCTTTAAGAAAACAAAATATGAAATACCCACAAAACTTCTAGGGAGGTTGATAGAATATCTTGTATTGAATATTTATTTAGGGTCACTAAATGTTATACTAGTATAAAGAAAGATCTTGTATTTAATATTTATTTAGGGTGACTAAATGTTATACTAGTATAAAGAATGGTTATAATTGATTTTTTAAATAATTAAAGTCATTACATAAATCCTTCAAAAAGTGGACAATACACAAGGTCATAAGATTTTCTACTTCTTATATCAATAAATAAACACCAAGTGCAGTCTTATAACAAAAGCTTAGAGAAAAACAGGACATATCTATACTATATTTTAACCAGAACTGTGAGACCAGACTCTTATTCTCTGTACTTAAAATAATAAGACAATAATTCTAATGTATCTAGCGGGGAGTTGCAGTTACGTGTACTAAGAAATAATAATCATAACCAATATTTATAATAAATCCAACAAACATGATCATGGGGAGAAATTGGTAACAACTTTATAGAATCTATTTACAGAATAATATGCATAGTTAATTCAATTTGATTGTGTTTAATATTACGTATGAACTGACTTCAAGGTTATTACGACAGGAGACCAGCTTGGTAAAATGAAACTGCCATTGGTCAATTTCAAAATAAAGATACAAAATCAACCAATCAGATGCTGCCATTTAAGACTGGTTCCCAACCTCATTTTTTTTATAAACTGGACCCTGGCTTCAAACAAGATTTAAAGGTCTTGGTGTGCTTTTCTTTCAAGAACTTATAAAACAAACCATGGTAGTGGTTTACTCACAACTTTCTGGACGGACAACTACAAAAATAATCTTTCTGTGTTTATTTTTTGTGGAAATATTCTACAACTGGTTAACGAACCTGATAAAAATGAAAAGTCTAGTTTCTTTAACTGTTATTTCAAAACCTTGTATACTATTTTCAAGTAAAAAATTGCTATGTGATGATATCCATGTATTCTACAGTTTTATAGAATTCCTCACAGCATTTAAACCTGATTAAGATAACATATGAGTGTGCAAGGAGTCTACTGATGAATAAACTGTTTTTCATGTGTGCTTTGCGTGAATATTTCAAGAAAAGGTCACTATCAGCCCTATTTTGCCAAAATCTTATGCATAAATGTTCAAATTTCTGAACTATTCAAAGTATAACTATACTTAGTAAAAATAAACAGCTTTGCACTTTCATCCAGAAAACTGTCACTTATAAAATGAGATCAATTTTTATGCAAATACTTACAAAGGAATAGTCATAATTACAAATGAAATATAAAATTGTTGAAAACAGCATTCTTATAATGTGTCCTTAAAGAAAGGTGTTTGCTTTCATTTGAAAAATAAAATAAAACTAAATGCTACAAAATCTTACAAAGCAGGTGGAGTAAAAAGGAACAGCCACATGATAACTTAAGATCGGGAGTAAAAAAACAACAGCAGGATTATAAAACAAGAGAAAAAGGGGAAAATCTCCTGTAACCAAACAGTTGTAGCATTAAGTCTATTACTCTTCATTCAGTTTGAATACATTAGTATAAAATGGAAAACATCTGAACCTGTTTATAATTTTAATAAACAACCCCTTAGGGGAGTTTACGTTCACCCCAACCATAAACAGAAGGGTGATGTATATTATATATTTAATGATATGCAAAAGCACATAGTGCTGTTTGTCCAACTTTATTTGCTAAAAAAGCATAACTCTCAGCATGATGCAAACACAACATTTGCAAAACAAACCCCAACAACTTAATACCTTGGTTATTAATTCATTCAAGCTGTAATTATCATATCAAATCTCATATGATATAGGAAAACCTCATTTACTCTCCGTTAATTATAACTGGTATTATTTCATAATTGACCGATCACCCATGAAAATAATTCACCACATCATGTAATTTAACAACTATCTTCTACACAGCATCAGAACATAGAATACATTTTTCATCGTGGGTACAAGCAAGTGAACAACTATTATACATACAAAAATAAAGACAATGTTAGAGTAACGTTATTATCACACATTGACCAAAGATCACAATGGTTTTTTTAAGAGACATTTTATTTACAGATACACCTCTACCTGCTTATACAATAAATTTTAATAACAAACCAGATCATTTCTTACAATTATACACCAACATAGCACAAATGGCGCTACACAAATATTCGGTCAGACTTGCCTACCTCTGTTAAAAAATTCCGACAGAGGCAATTCAGGTGTTCTCTTTCCATACAATCAACATTTTTTTTATCATTTATTATTTCTGTACAAAAAGGGCTTCATGGCAAATGTCTGCAAAGATTTATTTATTCATTTATTAACATTCTAGAAAAATAAATTTTATCTTATTTACAAGGAAAAAAACTTTACTTCTTCATCATAGAACAATCATAATATTTGACATGCAAAAATGTTCTTTGCTCAAAAAAGCCTGCCGATGATGCAAATCTTTTTTTTCTTCGTTGGACACCCTCAAGTAGAGAATTCTCACATTTAAATATAAAATCAATCTAAAAAAAATTACAAATAAATTTGAAAAAGTGGAATAATAATTCAAAATATATTAAAAAAAAATTTGAATGAAGTTTTACTTTCAACTTTAGGTTAAAAATGGAAGAAAAAAAAAAAGAATGAAATTTAAAAAAAAAAATCAATTATACTATCGGATAATTTCAGCATCACATGTCCTAGCAATAACACAATATAAACTGTTCTCTTTCAAAAAATAATACTTCTTTTGTTAAATTTTCTACAAAAATGTTTTTTTTTAATAATGAATGGTGCTTGAAACAATTCCTGATGACTTCAACGAACACATTTTCTCCCATATTCTCAGGATTTTGTCTTGATATATATGTATATATACACACAGAGGTTAAGACACAAAGTATTCCTAGAGATAACTATAACAGTACGTCCAACCCTTCATGCATAAATGGCAGCACATAAATCTTTTTAAGTGTGGTTAAATAAAAGTGTCATGCTTCCTCCTTCTGCTTTCACATTCACATGACTTTATCAAGCCATCCCATTGGATAATGTTCCCAGTCACATGACAATGACAGCACATGTGATTGGACAATGCACCAACATACAGGTCACATGATTTTCACTGAGCTATGTGATTGGACAATAAAGCAAGGAATTACGCACTGGAACAATCTCCACCACACAAGAACGATGAGCAAATTGTCACACTGGTTATAAAATGCTTTCTAGATAATAAAGAGTAGGCGTTATTTAGCACATAATTCACTGATTATATTTCCTACTAGTTTCAAAACACATAGAACCAGCAATCCATACAGCTGTTTTTCTTTCTCATTTGTTTTCATTTCAACGTTTAACTATCGGCATCATCCGAGTCAGAATCTGAGGAAGAAAGTGTATCATTGAGTTCATGCGTGTTTGGTAGATACACAGGGATATGTTTAGGGCTCCATGGTTTTGGTATAGCTTTAACCATCCCATTTAGAGGACCGTTTCGCTGTTGTACTTGTTTGGTGAGGTTCTGAAACTCTTTCATATCATCTTCGGTTATTTCATAATCCTCTTCGTCAGCCTCGTTCCAACCCATCTCTCGAAGCAGTCTGAAATACAACCAATATTGTATATAAAACCATCACATTAGTGCAGTAATAGATTAACTCTTATTCAGTTCAATAGGAGTTAGTCTGTTACTGCACTAAGATGATGAGACAGACATCATACAACACCAGTCCATAGACAGTATCATTAATTGATAGAATTATATCTGTACTTTATTGAAGAATTACTGCTGAACATAGAAATTTATCTTTGGTCGAACCACAGCAAACTGTTATAAGCAAAGAAAATGTAAAATACAAAATAATTTAGCAGTTGCTAAATTCAAACAATGACAATATAATGATTTAATTGTACTTTAAAAAAACTTTGGTCCTAGCTAGACAAGGAATAGGACTTTCATTGGAAAACAATAAAGTTACAATATGGTAAAAATATCAAATGCATCTGAAGTTAAAAATAAGAGTCAAAAATTAAGAATAAATTTATCAGACATCTATATTCTCTGATATACGTACCTTTGCTCTGCTTCTAGAGAACTAGATAAATTGCTATCATCCTCATGTAAACCTAGACCATCTACACCATTGACAATATCCTCCGACTCCCCTGACCGCCGCAACTTAAAATACACATGTGAAAGTGTAAATTTTATAACATCTATTACATAATATCTCTTACACAAATGATCTAACGAGATTCATAGTTAGTAAACAAATTTTAAAAACGCTCTATTTACTATGTCAGACTAGCAAACTAAAATCCATTTCCAGAGTTTTCATTTTTATCCCAGGAAACAGATGCGCCAAAGAAAACAGCCGATTTTGCCAACATAAATACCATCGATTTCAACAGCATTTTAACTGATGATAACAATCGTCAATCTGATAATGAAAACCCTGCATTTCAATCATTCCGAGGAAAAGAATGACGAGCCCAAATCTACATAATCGTACTTTACTACAGTTTCTTTTTCATACTGTTAAAAATTCAGCTTAAACTTTGTCAACCTTGAAATGCCTTTATATCACAATGGACAGTTCCAAATTTTAAAAGCAGGAAAAGTCCATTACACCAGGGAGGTAAGGCTTAAAAAAAAATGTACCTTCTCATCCTCTTGACGTAAGGTTTTCAGGAAATGACTTTTTTTATCAGACAGTGTTTTTGGTTGAGTAACAAATCTGGTGTTAAGGATATCCATTGGTGGAGTAGATGGCTGAGTACCCTGAAATATAGATTGTCAATATTGTTTACATTCTTTCACAATTATTTCAGACAACCCTACATGCTGTTCATATCTTTTTTTAATTATCATACGAGGTCTTGTATGCTATTCACTCATAATTTAGAGGTATTGTATGCTATTCACTCATACCTTAGAGGTTTTGTATGCAATTCATTTTTATCTAAAGAGGTCTTGTATGCATTTCACTCATAATTTAGAGGTCTTTTATGCTATTAACTCATACTTTAGAGGTTTTGTATGCTATTAACTCATACTTTAGAGGTTTTGTATGCTATTCCAGGTCATGTCTGCTATTCTCTCAGGTCTTGTTTGCTATTCACTCATATTAAAGACTCTTGCATGCTATTCACTCAGGTCTTAAGAGGACTTGATTGCTACTCACTCATATCATAGAGGTCTTGTAAGCTCATACATCTTTTCACCTTAGATTAAGCATACAAGCAAAGAGTTTCCAGAAATGTGAATTTGAAAAGACATAGACATTTCGCAAACTAGCAAATTGTTTCCAGCAATCAGTATGTAAATCAAAGAACATCTTTTATGACCTCTTGAGTGTGTATGTTTCAAAGAAAACATGATAAATTCTAAAACCAGACTTTACAAACATAAAATGTTATGACTTTAAAAATCCACCCAGTATTAATGTATTCTGTATATTAACATACATGTAGAGAAATTCATTCATGCAACTATAGCAAGCAAGTTTTCAAGTGTAACATTTCATTCCATAAAACAAATTAACTAAAGAAAGACTATGAAGAGAAAAAAAATAGAAGTGAACCAAAATACACTTGCTATTTTGCGATAAAAGAGCAATGTACAAAATTATTCAATTCTTTCACCCCTTTTTCGCTTGTAAACAGCCAAGATAAGAATATTTCATTATTACTGGCAGATGTATGATCAGCCATTTAGATAGCTAAGCAATGTTACAAAGAAAATGAATAACCAGCAAGAAAACACCATTATTATATTATATTTGATTAATGGGAACTCAGATGCAAGTTAACTAAAATTTGATAAATAGTATGTTGCACTGGCTATTGGATCACAACAACAAGGTTATTAAAAGAAAACATTTTTTAACAATTTACAAGCATGTGTTTTCTTAACAGACTATCTCTCATGCAAGTAGCAAAATAAGCTAACACTTCTCATTGCAAGAATACTAAATGAGCCGTGTCATGACAAAACCAACATTATGGGTTTGCGACCAGCATGGATCCAGACCAGCCTGCGCATCCAGGCAGTCTGATCAGGATCCATGCTGTTCGCTTACAAACTGTATAACAAGTAGAGAAACTGATTGTGGACAGCATGGATCCTGATCAGACTGCGCGGACGCGCAGGCTGATCTGGATCTATGCTTGTCGCAAACGCATTATGTTGGTTTTGTCATGACGCGGCTCAAATAAAGAAAAGATTTTAATAAATATACCTCTCTCGTGCCTCCTGGGTTACTAGAACTACTTGTGGGAGTGTTGGGTTTGAGACCTGCGTATGTGCCCGTTTCTCGTGGATAGCTGCCATTCATTCGGGCCGGTCTTCGAGGAATATTGGTCTTCAAATGGACAAATCATGCATTAATGAAGATGTTTGGTTAAAAGAACAACGTTATATGTGAATAAACCAGCATTCAACTTTCAGTGGGAAAATATAATACTTATATAAATTTATTTAAATGTACTGCACTGATTTTATTATTACACTAGTTACATTTTTGATATTATATTTTATGAAGAAGTCCACAAGTAAACTGACAACTATTTTCTCTATCCTACAAAGGGACTATTTGGTTTGGTACAAACATGCAATTCCCTAAAATTAAACAAGAGCACCACATGCTGTGTTTACGCTCATCTGTAAAGGGAAATGACTATCAACAATCAATTTTAAGTGAAAAAGGGGCATAACTCCAAAAATATAGCTTTCCAAATGATGCCCCTTGGTTTGCAACTGCATCTTGTCACTATAACAAGTATGCTATGTTTCATTTTGATAACTTTTAAAATGTTTGAACAATCATTTAAGGGATACATAAAAGTTTCTGCAAGACGATGATGACAATGACACAGCGATCACAATAATATGACATTTTCTTCGGAACAGACAAGCTAAAAATTCATTTTTTCTTAAAGAAGACAGCTAACAGACGACATTAGTAAGCCACCTGGTGATAAATGACATGTCTTCGGTAGCGAATAGAAAATCAGTCCGACAAGACTCCAATGCTAAATGCTGTCAAGCATTTATAGATCCCTACTCTGAACATCAAGACAGATCAAGTATAATGGTATAAAAAAGTTAAAACGCAGACAAGATTTTGTTCACAATTTGATAGTTGATACACACAACTGATCCCGTCCAATCTCACTTTTTGCACATTTCATTCCCTTAATGCTCATAAAAAAATATTTTATAAAACAAGTCAGGATAATCTACATCAATAATTGAAGTCAAACAAACTTATCATATTAGATGTAATTGAACTTATTATTAAATTGAATTATAAGATTAACATACAAACATGAAACAATTCAATGTAGCAACTAAATACTGGATATCAAAATAATAATAAAACCATGCCAGAAATCTAACAAACACCACATAATAAAACAAACAATATTATACAAAAATACACTTCCTTCATAAAAATTTATCATTTTAAACTTAATCATATGAAGCTATAACCCCCTGACCACACCCCGCCCCTTTTTAACCCTCCCTCCCTGGCGGCTCAGATCTTATAAAGAGTTGACATGATAAAAAGCAATGCAAGATTTACTAACCCATTACGCAATATACACGCCTTTTAACGCCTTTTTCACCAACCCCCTTTTTTGATGTCTCTAATGGTGAAAAAATGCCTTATTTAGGCCCCCAACACTTGTTTTTGTTTCAGAAATGTTGTTAAAAAAATAGGGCTGCAACGATACACCAAATGTTCAATTCGATTCGATTTCGATTTTATACACTCCGATTCGATTTTTTTCGATTTTATACATTTCTGATTACTTATTTATCTTTGGTATATAATTCTGCTTGTCTGCTCCAAAAGTGAGTGGCCTTGTGCTTTGCTTTTCTGTTGTAATATAACTATTATATAAACTTATTTGACTTAATAATTGTGTTTATGAGAATAAAAAGCTCTTGTCTATTTGGAAAATAATTTTAATCAGGCAAATAATCATTAATCTCAGTAACATGACCCCTGAACATGACTATCACAGATACCTTCTGCTGACTAGGAATTGAACAAAGTATGTAAATTGTAAAGTAAATAATAATGAACAAAGTTTCACAAGGTTGTCAGAACTGATATTCAGATATTCTGTTTATAATTCCCATATTATGTAAAATGAATAATCAATCCTAATGTCAGTGTTGTCACACAATACTTCTTAGTCTAGTAAACAATACACATGAAATTATCACTTTTTTCACACTTGACTAAAGAAATAATAATCAATCCCAATGTCAAATATGCCTACTTACTGTAGTACTCAACATACAAAAAATTAAAATGTTCTTGAAATTATGAATTAATGATGACTGTTCTCAGACTCTCATTTAATGATGACTGTTCTCAGACTCTCAGATAGTAACACTAAAATGTCACATAAAGTTTGATTCAAACTACACTTTTAAGCAACCAACTGTCAACAGACCTTTTTGCTGAACTTGAACTAGGCATGTCATGCTTACCAAACAAATCCACATCGTATTTTCGTTTATATGTTGCATTAAATTAGACGTACTACCGGACTTTGGATATGACACTTCCGTAAAGCATATTTTGCAAGTAGCTTTATCCGTGTCCTGGCCTTCACAAAACCCAAAGTGTTCCCAAACCTTTGATTTTAATTTTTTAGGAGGATTTTTTAATTTTATTTTATCAACATTGATGTTGGTAGCCATTTTGACTTGTTTGCCGAAAATAAAACATTACGCGCCCACTGATTGGATGACTGAGTTTTAACTGGCCAATCGTATGTAACGTGATAAAGCGCGAAGGGAAAGACTAAAACTCTCACTTTTTCCAATGTTTATTTTTGGGTGGGGAATCGAATCGAAAATGTTACAGTTGGTATCGGGAATCGAATCGGCGCTCATAAAACCGTTTTTCGATGCATCGTTGCGCCTCCATAAAAAAAGTGACCACTTTTTCAGCGGCCCCCCAACCAAAAGATACATCAGGGGGTTGCCAGAAGGGGGATGTGCCCCCTTCTGTTTGGGGGGGTTTGAAGGGGGCGGAGTCCCCCTCATCGCCAAGAAAATTTTGGTCTTGTGAGAGGCTATAAATGACCCCAGATTGATCATTAGGTAACGTGTAACCAACGCTGAAAAGCATTTGACTCTATCTCAATCCATTGAGAAGTTGCAGCACTTTGAAATCAATTTTGATGGAAAAAATCAACGCAAAATAGTGATTTTTGACAATTGTGAGATGTCCCCTCGTTGCCATGGTAACAGAAAATTTAAGCCTGAGCATGTGTTTTCAAAGGAAATGGTCCAGTCAACATTTATGCCAAGTTTGATTAGTGTTGAAGCAGTTTTTATAGTATTATAGCAATTTGAACTTGTAACGGGAGACTTTTCAATGAAAACAGCCATTTTTCACAAAATGCTCATGAAGTAATGGGTTAACTTGAAGTCTTTAAAATAACTTATACGTATAGAAAACAACTAAGCCAGATGAGTTTATTCACGCTACTGATTCAGTGCATAATTTTTCAGTCATCCATATGAAATTCCCCAAAAGAAAGAAACACATTTTTGGATCAGTATTCAGTAAACTGTGAGCTTACCTTATTAGGGACAAGGTTTTTGTAGATATTTGCATCTCTTAGCACTTTAGACTGACTAGAATCATTTGACTCTTCCCCTGGTTTACCATTACTTCCCTTTGGTGGATTGTCTGAAATAACACACAAGTTAGTTATAAAGAAATACAGTACAATAAAATGTATACAACTGAGAAATGACAAATTAATTTTGTTCATATAACTATCAAAATAACATGCCTTAGCCATGGATATACTATCAGGGCATTATCAGGCCTCTTCCTAGCTATTTTGGAAAAAAGTACCTTGCCCAGTTTTGGAAATTTTGCACCGTATAATTAATTTTGAATTTGTTCATATAACTATCAAAATAAATGTCTTGACTATCAGGTATTTATCATATATTTGGAACCTTTTGAAACATCCTTCATGCTCTTTTGGCATAGTATTTTGAATTGTTCAAATTGTTCATTCTAACCAATGCAAATATTCAAAGCATAAAAAACATAAAATTTGACAATAAAATGTGTGGAAACATCTAATACCCTGCTGGAAAGAACTCTAGCAATTTGTCAGTTTTGGTTATCATACTTTATTGCATTTTTGCTGAGAATACAATGAATAGAGGTGCTAGTGAAAATAGAAAAAAAATCTGCACTTCTGTATCAATTTGAAATGTAAATGTGATAAAAAAATTATATATTATAAAATGACTATTGTATTAACTTTAAAAATAAACATGTTAAAGAACTTCATATTTAAAACAACACTCAGTAGATACATAATCTTTTCTACAATGTAAGAATGTAAATGAGCCGTGCCATGACAAAACCAACTTAGTGCGTTTGCGACCAGCATAGATCCAGACCAGCCTGCGCATTCGCGCAGTCTGATCAAGATCCATGCTATTCGCTTAACAACCCTATTACAAGTAGAGAAACTGATATGGAATAGCATGGATCCTGATCCTGAATCCATGCTAGTCGCAAACGCACTATGTTGGTTTTGTCATGACGTGGCTCAAATGTTCATACTAAGAACTTACCCCAAACACCTGTCCCGTTCATCTGTTTACTGCTGCCTTGATTTGATGATGGTTTTTCTTCACCATTTAATGACGGCTGTAAATACAAGATATAAACCAATGGGTTTTATGAACTGTTTAAAGTCAACATTTATAGGTTGCTTTACTTCATATATCTTGAAAAGTCACAATATCACAGACTTTAACATTGTCATACAATATAGTACACAAATGCATCTGCCAAAGTGATGAACTATCAAATATGATGCATTAAATGGTAATAAACAAACAGATAAATGACTTTCAACTTATTTTCAGGAAAATCATGCAAATAAGAAACTCTACGTATTTCATATTCATGAAGTAACATGCAGTCTAGTCAGTGTGTTTTTCAGCAATTTTTCATCATTTTCAAATTTAAGACCAGAACAATCAACATTTTTGTTAAATTTTTTCTGAAAATTCATTTTCATCATATGCTTACAAAATCATCATTAAATGGTTTCTCTTTCTCCGTGTCCTTGTCTTTCTTCTCGTCTTTATCTTTTCCTTCTTTTGAATTGCTGCGGCCTTCCTTTTCATAGTAGTTTCGTTTAGCACCACCTCGGCCAGGAGGATAGTTGTTGTAGTATGGTTCGTTACCATAGTAATCATAAGGTGGTATGAAGTCGTAATATGGTGGATAGCCTACATTCATACCCTGAAATAACAAACATGTTCAATTGATCAATATCTAACATCTATACTCTCGAAATAGCAAACATGTTTCACTGATAAATATTTTAGAAAGCATTGATTTTATGATTAAAACTGTGTACATGTGTTTGACAAGTGTTTAGCTTTGAAGTTTAAAGACTTTTAACCCTTTAAAGCGTCATTTATTCATTACCTTAAAAGCAATTAAAGAAAAACTTTTTTTTTCATGATTTTTACCATGGATTATGTGATTTGTGTGTATTTTATCAAACAACTTTTTAAAAATGACCTACACAATATTTAATGTCACTGATTTTCAATATCAACAGTCTGTAATTGGTACCTTATACTACTAACAAAGCAATATTAAGTATACTGTATTGGTTCAACTATTTTTACATAACTTCAGGAACACCACTTGAGTGTTCAAAAAATCTTCTTCCAACAAGATTGTATGTTAATTTGAAAGTGACCATCAATGTGGATCACTAAAGAGCCAAGTTGAACTTCTGTTCTCATAAACTCAAAATTATGAAACTTTACAATTTCATACCAAATGAATTTGCCTTTCTACATTCTACTCCATATACTTAAACCTATCAAATAATTCACTTTTACAATATCAAATAATTCCCTTTGACCATACCAAATAGTTCATCACTGAGTCTTTGAATTCAACACTTCATGGAGACAGACTTTAACATTTATTACCTGTCCTGCCCCGTATCTTGCATGAGGATGTTGATATTTGCTGTCCCTTTGACCCCCAGATCTTAACAATGATGGCTGCGAGCTGTAGTGCATTCCGTACTTGTCAGGGTAGCTGTACCCATTGTAGTAGCCATACGGTGCATACGTGTAGTAGTAGTCATCATCGACTGAATGGTGCCGGAACTTGCTGCTGCCACCTGATGGAAATCGCTTGCCTATAAAAGGGAAATTTATTTTGGTCTGTTTAGCAGCATATAAAATAAGTTTGTTTTTTTCCCAATCAATTATCACTTTTACTAATCCTTAGTTGCGAACACCATTTACGAATGTTAAAGTCTTGCCAAGGAAATATAGCATTTTTTTAACAGTATTTAATTAATCTGACAAATAAGATGTTGCTTTAAAAGAATATATCATATCAAAGGAAAATGGATATAGATAAAAGCTCATATATATTTAAATATGTATGATGTTGCTTAAAATAACATCTACATGTATAACATAAATAAAAGGAAATAACAAACTACATTTGTGTATTGGGAAGGACAAAAAGCCTGAAATAAAGACTAGTGAGTGGAAACTACCAGTATAGCTTTTTGCAGAAGCTGTGATCGTGCAGAGGATATAATGTTATATAAATAAAAATTACAATCCAATATCGATTGTTTTTTCTTCTCAGTATAAAAGCAAAGAGAAAAGTCTAAAAAATAGTATTCATATCACTTGAGATACATGAAGTAAATAAAACAAGGACATGTTTCCTAAGAGAACATTTTCCTTTAAGGATTAAAAGAAATAACTACAATCGTTGATGCTAAGACACTTGCAGTACATTTGGATTTTTTATTCAGGGGATTAAAGAAATACAAATAAAATTGCAGAAAAACGGTGGCATTAGAAAAGATCTATCAAGTCCGGGGCTCATTTTTGCATTCCATTCTCAAAAGCACCTTCCATGGCGAAAAACAAGAAAAGAAAAGTGGATATTGCCAAAACTGATAATTTACAAGCATGAAGACTTAGGAAGACCAAACAATATCTAACAGATTTAAGACTACAGCGTCACTACACCAGAATATACATGTATGTTCCAGGTGGTTACAGGAGGGAATAGCCAGGCAGCTATTCGGGAGTAATGCGCATCCCTTACTTTCGTCAATTTTATGTTCTAATGAAAACTGCCGATGCAGCCTACTTGAATCATATGGATGTTTGTGTGATAGGGCAGATTCTTCCCTATGATAATTACGATTAAACCTATCTTCGGAGCTTGTCTCACCTTGTTTATTACCGGGTGGCTTCTGAAAAATATAAACATAAACGTCATTAGCTGAAGTTGCAATGCTAGTGATTTTTACCAGTAGAAAATTTGTCAATATTCAGAATATTTCCTAGACCATCCTGTAGGGAATATTTTTTAATTTACGCTGCTGTGTAAAAAATTTAATTCCCAACATATTACTATTTTTCCACATTATAAATTTATATTAAGTAACATTGTTTTAAGTATTATTAAGCAGTGTTTGTATTCAAATACATACAGTCCTAAAATACCATACACTGCACTTGTATCAATTTTCAATCACACATATGAAACTTTTTTTTAAATATCCACTACTCTGAAAACTTTTATCAATCGAAGACATTATTAACTTCAGCAAAGAAATTATTTGAAAGAACCGAGTCAATGCATACAGATGTAATTCCTTCATACCAAGTGTTGTTTTTACATGTACATGTAATTCCTACCAAAATAGTTTTAGATGTATGGACTACCAATTTAAATGAATGAAAGTTGTACAAATATTAATGATAAAACTTACAGAATTCTCAGAGTTAGGAATTTTCAGCCAAGCCGGAGCAAAGTCATGCTTTGGAGCGTTATTTGTGGCCATCCTAAACCATAGCCATAAGGCTGTAAAGAGATATATAAATATAAAATTACATTCAAGATAAACATAAGCATAATTCATTTGCTACTCAATGTCAACAGACTATTGAAATAAGTAGAAGTTGCTATTGGAATTTTGCCATTAGAAACTTTCAACCAGGCACATCATGAATAAGCCATCAGGCTCATTAAAAGTATTTAAGCAGGTAATATTTTGATCTTTGATCTGCTGCCAATTGAAAATAGCAATTTCCTTGACTAAAGTAAGAACATGCAACATATCTCTTCTAATATAAAGAAAGTCTTAATTTTATGATTACGAGTTGTACCACTATCCATAATTTAAAAAAAAAACTACCGGAAAGTACAGTATTCTTATGTCAGTAGGGTATTTCAAAAAGCAGAAACACAGTAAAAAGCTAAATGTAATTGAGAATTACTTCTGTTTAGAAAATTGTTATATAATTAGATCCCTGATAGACATCAAAAATTTACCTAACTCACCTAAGATAAGTCTGTTTAAAGACCAATAATTTTCTTGCACTTCTCTATTGTATCTGACCAAATTTGTCAAAATTATGTTATTACAACTTGCTTCTATATAGATTAAAATTCAAATATAAAATAAATTTCAACTGTCTTCTAAGGCACTTAATGTCTGAGCACAAAAGCGAACTTCAACAGAACCTGAGCAAAAATAAGATAGCACCGCAATGAGGCTGATGGTCTGTTGTAAAATGTCCAGGAATGAAGACTGTCTTTGTTAGAATATTTCCTTTGCAAAGCAGCAAGTGCTTGCAATTCACACTAAATGCTACAAAATATCTTCCTCCATCTTCAGAAATTGTATCCACATGAATAAATGTGATAAAATTTCCTCAATTGGTATTCCTTTCCTTCTGAAATGATTTTATGATCACAAAGTCATCTTGTTAAAAGTTATAGAAAACTTTAATAGAAAGATTTTATCAATTTCACATCAATAAAACAGCATTTTGTGTTAGTTAACATTGGTAAACTGAACGTATAGAAACGCATGTTATTGTTCTGGTCGTAGTAAAAACGCGGTGCTAAAAAGGTCACATTTTCTTTTTCGCTTTCCTTGAATATATTTGATTAATGGACTTAAAAATTTAATTAATGGGGATTCTTCTACAACAAAGAACAGTTGAAACTACTCTCTAACTACTGCCATCTCAATTTCTTGTAAATAAAGCGATAAATGTACAATATTTTTAATTTTCAATTCCCTCCATCAAAATGGCGAATATTTTTTCCCAGAGTTCAAATTTCCGGTTAAATTTGGCTAAATATCGTACCAAAACCGTATGATACCGTGTCACAGACGAAAGACCAAAAAAGAAGGTTAAACTAGCTTATTTACAAACGCCTTTTCGCGGGCAAATCTCGAAAAATGGGAAAACTGAAATTTTGCCCATCCAAGGTATATAGTGCATGAACTGGTGTAAGTTAAATGGTAGCAAGACACTTCACCCCCCAGACACTTCCCCCCTCAAATTTTGAAGACACTTCACCGCTCAAGACACTTCACCCCGCAAAATTATTAAGACACTTCACCCCTCATCCAATTTTTTTCTATAAAGTAAATAAGCCAACAACATAATGCTTTTTATATCATATGCTTATTTTAATTATTATTTGATTAATAATTACTTAATTAAAGGACAACTTACAGACATTTCTAATAGTAAATATTTGTTTAGTAAACAATGCAGGAACAAATAACACATGTAATAATTTCTTTAAATCATTTACATATAACATGCAATAAAACATAACATTAAAGTCATTTTACTGGTTCAAAAAACCCACATTCTTATAAATGTCCACAAATTCACCCACTTTCTCCAAGAATTCCTCAGTCATCGTTTTGCCCACAAAGCACTTTCATTCATTAAATGTTTATTGCATGTCACCTTGTATATTCAACATGTTGATTGGTTGTTTATTCACCAGTTATCTTATAATTGATTAGATAATTGGATTAAAAAGGTATTATTGTATGAAAATGAAATAAATGAATAGATAAATAAATAATATAATTATATTGAATGTAAAATAAATAAATAAATGATATTGTATGAAATAATTAAATAAATAATATTGTTTGAAAAATAAATCAATAAAATGAATATAAAATGAATATAAATGAATGAATGAATTATTTATTCACTTATTGTAATAAATAAAAAAAAGAACAATTTGTATTTTCCTTACTTAAGTTAAAAATGTTGCTAACAAATTAAGTAAACTTACTGGTATCACATGCTATGCGTTGCCAGATCAGTTTGTATTCATGTTAAGCTTTCAATTCAATAAACAAGATACTGACAATTAAAGACACAAAGGAAGTGTGTAAGAGATTATTTACTGTCTTAATATATATCAAAGGAAAATTCACACAAAGGTTCACACACTTCAATAAAAAGATTATTCTACAATTAGTTATATCACTTTCACTTTAATTGAAATTAGTATAAAATATATAAAAAAATAAAGAATTTACTTACTAATAACTTTGTGATATGAGCCTTATTTTAGGGCAAAAACAACAATTTATATCCATTGTCTTTGGTCAATTACATGATAAAATAATAAAATATGTTAAAACAATAAACATACTCAATTACTATTGTAATCATTTAACATTTCTACATAAATAGTTGTTTAACATAAGATAAAAAAATGGGGGGTGAAGTGTCTCAATCAAATATCTTAAAATGAGGGGTGAACTGTCTGAGGGGTGAAGTGGCTGCTAAAAAAGGCCTAGAGTGAAGTGTCTGAGGGGGTGAAGTGTCTGTAAACCGTTAAAATAAGGGTATATTTTGACATAAATATTTCAAATTTTATTATTTACTCCACATGAACTTTAGCAAAAGAAATTTCTGTAAATATCCAGCGGCATTTACCTGTAATGTGCATTTTATAAAAAGAGTGGGACAGTCTTATTATATTTAAGGCATGTTTATATCTTATTCTCAACATTTTCAAATATCAACACGATCAATATTGTTGTTCAGTCACCATTAGAACAGTCAATCTTTTGAAATGTATTGTCGATTCAGCTCAACTTGATAATGAAAACATGAGCATAATGTCATTTTAAATCAAATAAATATGTCCTTGGTATCGTTGCCAATAATTGCACCAGTGTGAAGTGTAAAAGACGAAACTTTGGTAGACATAAAACTGAGAGTGGGCTAGCTGGCTTCTTTCCTTTTCTTTCACAAAATGTTGTTGTTACACTGAAAACGACATGTGTATAAGTCAAGTAAGCCACACATAAACTTTGATTTTAAATGTACATTTTGTATATATAACCTTATCCAATGGAAATGGTGCAGAACTGAAAGTACAGTACAAGGTTATTAGGCCAACTTACGTGAAAGCAAATTCATGGACTTTTTATAAACATTCTAAAACACCGGATTGTTTTAAATTCTTGAATTCTGTCTTATTTTTATTTGTTTGTTTTATTTTGTTCAGACTCTACTATATAATGCTTTGTCTTTTTAGAGTTGTTGAATGCATTTATATTTACATGTGTATTATGGTTATTAAGTTATCCTTTGTCGCCAGTCTTGTCTATTTTTTTTATCTCTTTTTTGCATGTTTTTCTTTCTGAATCTGTTTTAATTTTTATTTTGTTTTTAGCTCAGGTGAGCTTTTGTGATCGCTTTTCGTCCGGCGTCCGTCCGTCCGTCGTCCGTCCGTCCGTCCGTCCGTAAACTTTGGTGAGCTTTTGTGATCGCTTTTCGTCCGGCGTCCGTCCGTCCGTCGTCCGTCCGTCCGTCCGTCCGTAAACTTTTGCTTTAAATGACATCTCCTCATAAACCACTGAGCCAATTTCATCCAAACTTCACAGGAATGTTCCTTTGGTGGTCACCTTTAAAAATTGTTCAAAGAATTTAATTCCATGCAGAACTCTGGTTGCCATGGCAACCAAAAGAAAAAACTTTAAATATCTTCTTTTAAACAACCCTAAGAGCTAGAGCTTAGATATTTGGCATGAAACATCTTCTAGTGAGTGTCTACCAAGTTTGTTCAAATAAAAGCCCTGGGGTCAAAATTGGCCCCGCCCCTGGGGTCATTGATTTTCCCTATATGCATATAGTAAAAACTTAAAAAATCTTCTTTTAAAGAACCGTAAGAGCTAGAGCTTAGATATGTGGCATGAAACATCTTCTAGTGAATGGCTACCAAGTTTGTTCAAATAAAAGCCCTGGGCGTCAAAATTGGCCCGACCCAGGGGGTCATTGATTTTCCCTATATGCATATATAGTAAAAACTTAAAAAATCTTCTTTTAAAGAACCCAAAGAGCTAGAGCTAAGATATTAAGCATGAAACATCTTCTAGTGAGTGTCTACCAAGTTTGTTCAAATTAAAGCCCTGGGGTCAAAATTGGCCCCGCCCCGGGGGTCATTGATTTTCCCTATATGCATATAGTAAAAACTTAAAAAATCTTCTTTTAAAGGACGATAAGAGCTAGAGCTTAGATATTTGGCATGAAACATCTTCTAGTGAATGTCTACCAAGTTTGTTCAAATAAAAGCCCTGGGGTAAAAATTGACCCCGCCCCAGGGGGTCATAGATTTTCCCTATATGCATATAGTAAAAACTTAAAAAAATTTCTTTTAAAAATGCCAATGAGCTAGAACTTAGATGTTTAGCGTGAAACATCTTCTTATGGGTGTCTACCAAGTCTGTTCAAATAAACAAATAAAAGCCCTTGGGTAAAAATTGGCCCGGGGGTGGGGGCCTATATACAGGTGAGCGACCTCAGGGCCATCATGGCCCTCTTGTTTTTGTTACCTGGTGAATATTGGAATTGCCCTTACAGGACTATATTGCATCCGTTCGTTCCGCTCGTGTTTCACAAGCTATTGTTGTATGGTGATTTCATTTTCACTTTTATTTCTCTGTGTGCGTGCGTATATATGCGAGCGTGCGTGTGTTCCTTGATGGCACAACTCTCGTTTCCATAGATTTACTGTAAAAATACACATATAATTATATTGCATTTTTTGGACAGCATCGGTCTCCTTGCATAATAAAACACATTATAAATTGCCAATGAATTGTTGAGTAATTATCTAATTACAAATTCTTTTTAAATTTCTGTTTTTTCTGAAACATAGGTAAACATATTTATGACAAGTTTCTACTCAAACCGATATGTCTTACAACTATGTTATAAAATAAAGAATTTTAAAATATTAGATTGTGTGAACAATATACAAGTCTAATTCCTATCCAACAGAAACGATGCAAAATTTTGCAATATAATCGTAACTGATTATTTTCTCATGCTAATTACCCTTATTACCCTTGATTTTTAACATTAGAAAATGCCATATAGTCTGAATGAAAGATTTTGAAAAAGGTGTAATCTCTAATATTATTTTAGGTAACGTTCGAGCCTTTATGTATGTCAAGTAACGTAGGAATGTGAAAATAATGCAGGAATTGCGAAAAGAAAACCCCAAATCTGTGCAAAACTATGACCAAAACGAGTAACACGGTAAGAAAACAGACCAAAATATTTTATAGTACACTGTAGATAAAATTAAAAGAGATGATTAAACGCACACGTCTGCTATGCCCTTATACTTCAGTTTGGCAAACATTAACCAATATTTATAGGAATATGTTTACCTTTTAAGATAATTTGTTAGAATGACGACCTGACAACCGTTTTGAAGGCGTGCCATAGCATACTAGAAGGAAGCAGATACAACTATTAATCAGGTTTCTTTTATGCGGGAACTAGCGTTGCTTCTGTGCATTATTCACGAATTCGGAGTTTGAATTGTCTCAGTCACATTTTATATGTTTATTTCAGAGTGATCTGAAACGAATACTTTGACAAATGTCCCAGGAACACCGAATATCGGAAACAATAAAAGTCTATATAATGTTATTTATACATTATGGTAAAAACAGATATATTGGCGAAACGCAAAAGTTGCCTTCAAAACGATAGTCAGGTCAACATTCTCATGGATGATCTAGAAAAAACAAACACTTTCCTGGAAATATTTTAACGAGGTTTAAAATGTAATGTTTTAGAAACTGCCATATGTGCTCATTCAACTTCTCAATTTGCTTAACTATAAAATATATTGGTTCATTTACTTACCGTGATGCTCGTTTTGGCCAAAAATTGCACAATTCCTGTGTTACTGGATATACACGGAGCTACTGTTGAATTTAATCTGACTCATATTCTATTTCTGATCAATAGTGTGACATTAAGCCCATCAAAGTGTA